ACCACTGTCGTGAATCGCGAGTAGCTTGCAGAATTAATCTACTAAGTAGTTTACTGTGTATATTTTTAAGTATTTTTGTGGTAACATTTTACATGGTTGAAACAGGTGTATTCGAGAACTTGGCAAAAACAACGCCAATCTCGTCATGTGCATAATGGAGGAGCTATTGGGATTACACCCTTTTCTGGATATGCCTGGCACTTCGCTAGAAGACTGCAACTGTATGGTATTTGAAGCATCATTTAGAGTCTAAGATGCTCACTTTAGGTACCGCCAAGCTGATATTGGTTTTCAGTGCGGCACGTTATTGCCCGGCCATGCATTCTGTAATGCGGCGCTACGCTTTGTGCCATTACGACTATTTGCATACTACACCGGAACTTGTCCCCCTCTTAAAAGTATTCAAAAATATATCCTTTACTTCTGTAAGTTAATCTTGACGCGTGATTTCAGAATTCGCCAAAGGAAAGCGGAATTGGGAAGTCTGCAGGTGCTGGCCAAGCGAATTTTCCGCAGCTTATGAAAATGCTTGAAACCTTGTTGAGCACCTGCCAGAATCTCCCTCCTAGCTCAAGAACAGTCACCTTAAAAGCGATCACTAGGTCATTTCATTATTTGCTTTATTAAAATGATAAGCTTCTATGAATCATTAAGAAACGACACCAGTTTATCTTGCTTACAAATTTTCACATGCATCGTAGCCTAAAGGTATTATTCCGGTCATCACAATGGTAGTCACTTGAGTACCTCAAGAAAATTCCCGTAAAGGAAAGATGAGCTTGACTAATAATTGCAATATTTAGTAAGTTGACAGAGTTATACTATTTGTGACACCTGATTGGTGTTCAGGAAATTTATTAAAAGATTGCGTTTCCTGCGAGAAATGAGGACACTGCACTTTCAGTCTTCAGCTACACAGGCAAATGAACATGATTTGTAATGTTCTTGATCTGCAGCGGAAAAGACCGAGAGTGAGACTCAAAAGAGAATCTTTGAAAAGTTCGCATAGTCAGATGTACATATGTGAATATTTTTTACATTTTGAAATATATCACTTTATGCACAAATTTTTGCCTATACAAATGCAGTTAATAGGCGTGTACTGATTTCGATGTTTACATATTCAGTTTACTTAATGCAGTTAAGTTCAGAATTTCATATCGTGCACTAAGCTTTGACTTAAATCTAAACTTGCGCATAATGTGGGATTTTGATTGTAATTACATTATGTTAAGTGAATTATGTTAATTTGTAATCAGTGGTTATCTACTGTTTCTATAGAAGACTTAAATGGATTAGTGTATGTGGTAATTTATTTTAAAAATGTATGGCATATTCATGTATGTCCGTCATGACTATTGATCTGATTAAGAAAAAATCGTGTTCAGCTAGTGCATAGCCCTGATAGTTCCTTAGCAATATGATGAAATCCATGTAGCAAAGCCTGCGCCTGTTTTTTCGGTGACCCGTCAAAAACTCACAGACAAATGACAGATGAACATGAATAACATGTGCAGTGTAAATTTTAGAAATAAATCGTCGTATGTACAGATCTGTTTCATTCTTGCTAAGACTGTTAATGAGTACGTATAGGCAACGAATCACTACCTCCTTTCGTTACTAAAAATTTGCAGATTTCGATGTTTACGTAATCTGTGTAATATATGTTAGGTTAGTTTTGGAGTAAATAACTCAGAATTTTAAATGTAATTGCATTATATAAATGTGGAACTCGATATATTAATTTTATTTCTATAGAGTAACATGAATTTATGTTTTTATTTCAAAAATTAAAAGCATATTCATAAACGTGTATTTGTCATGCGCACTTTTGGCAAAGTCCTCCTTTCTCAACCGTACATTTAGCTCAAGTATTTTTTGCAGTGCTAACTTCCTGTTAATGTTGCACGATGCTTAATTGTCAAAACTTTATGGAAGGAAGTATTTTGTTTTTCCGTGAATGAAAGCTCGTTCGTTTTCGATTTCTTTGATACCACGTTCTTTATACATTTGATCATGCATATGTTTTTTTTAGAAATCTGGAGGTTTATACCGACGAAAACGAAATGATTAACAGCAGAATTCAGTGCATGACCCTCTGTTTTAAGACAATCGTACAAACAGAAAAACTCATGGCGGATTATTTGCATTCCAGCGGCACTGCCTTTTATCAAAGTCAAGTCATGAAAGTAATTCAGTTGATTGTGGTGTTGGCAATGTTTTTATGTGGCATTTTAAAACAGTATGTGAGGTAGCTGCACTCACATATGGTTCTGAAAAAATATGACACTGCATGTTAATCAGCATTGAATATTCAAGAAAGCCACATTGCAGGTGCCCAGATAGCCGAGCTTGTCCAAGATGTCGCAAGCAGATCTAATATTGTTGCTGTCGCATCTTGGAATTCAGTCACGGACTTTGTTTGATTGTTCGACCGCATCAGCTATTGAAAAGATCTTCTGAGCTCTTGCCCACTTAACTCTAAAGAAATAGAGGGGACAGAGTACATGAATACATTGATATTCAACAAAACTTTAATCAATCGGACTTCATAGCGAAAATTTTAGTTTAGCGAAATAAGTGCAAATGCAGACATCAGTGAAGAAAATGAGAAATGCATATTCAAATTCAGTTGCGATTTCGCTTTTGCTGCAGGTGTCCATACTGCTTCTGTTAGGGGGACGAAAACTTTCACAAATGACGCTCCGTAAAATAATTCGTTAATGTGATTGAAGTTGTTACGATACTTCACCAGATATCTTGAACATCACCTCTATCTGAGTATAAGTTCGTTCTCGCAGTGTTCAATATCAGTTTCGCTGTATTCATTCTGCAACTCTGTTGCAAAGCATGAGAGATGATATATCGCCCTTTTTAACTGATCAAAAATTAACTCTTAGGCTTGCTTCAACCGTGAGGCAGTATATATCTTTTTATCACACGTAATGTAACAAGTCGTACAGTAGCCATGATTTGCAAATGTCTTGAATATACCATTCATATATACCGGATAATTTTAATATTTTCAGGTTTTGGAAACCATTTTGGAGCTACAATACTGTTGGCATTCTAAAAGCAATGTGCTCCAATTGCTCATCATAGAATTGCGCCTTAGAATCGGAGTTGTAATGGCGGTGCACAACGCGGAATGGCGTCTATGGCTATTGGACTTCATCAACGACAGTTCACTGTAAAACACTAATGGCTGTAAACTGTACTAAAAAAGATTATTATTGTCAAAAGTTGTTGCTCAAATACTTAATTTTCAGATTATAGACCAACTTTAATAGCTGTATGCTCGACTTTCATAACCGTCAGCACTTCTTTGCATGCAGTGCAAGTTCACGTATCGCACTCAGGAAGATTTAAATGGATTAGAATTATAATCAGTTAAATGTTGAATTATTTAATTGTTGACCTCAAGATCCAAGAAGAGTGGTGTGGCTTCCGGCCCGGTCGAAGCACATCTGACCATATATTTGCCCTGCGTCAGATTGTTGAGAAATCGTGGGAGTACGCCCAGTCGGTCTAAATGTGTCTTGTAAACATAGAGAAAGCGTATGACCGGATCCCACGC